AGCAGGAATTGGCAACAGAGAAGATGTTAGATTACCTGCTGCCTCTCCATGTACTTTAAGTACCAGCCACCACTGTGTATTGGCATACAGTGTTTAGTAAATACAATCCAGTCCCAACAGTTTTCCACATCCTGTGCTCATTAGGCCAAATCCTGGCCTACTTGCACAGCTCTAGCTGTAATGACAACAGCAGTGGTGAATGATTAATGGGCCTGACAGCCCATCTCCTTGTTCTTCTGTACACTTCTCCAGAGTTCCATTCCAGGAGCCTACAATTTACGTTCCTGTGCATGAGTGTGTGGGGGCATGCATGGGTCTGAAAGAGACAGTGAGAGAGTATGTGCATGCATACATGTGCGTATATAAAAATAAAATAATCCAAGAATTATCAGACTTTCTTTCAAACGAAAATTTAGGGGTTAGCATTCTGCCCTTCAATTCGGTGCGATTATGTGCTTAGAAGACTGAAAAAAAATCATATTAATGTGAAAACAATATATGCAAGGAAAGGGCATTTCATATGAAGATGAACACTCAGTACAGTGCTTTCTTTAATTTAGAAGTATGTGTGCTTAACTCACCCCATGCTATAAATAACTGAACCAATAAATTAATCCTTTGTGCAGTATCACAAGTATTTTTCTAAATTATGTCAGGGGTTCCCTTCTCCACTTAATTTGGGTTGTTACTTCTTTAAAAGTTGAGACATTTTATGCATGATTTCCCTTTGGTGAGACCCTGCTGAATATTTAAGCAGTAAATTATGACAGATTATGCAGCAGCATGAATAATGCAGAACTCAAATGTTAATTGAGGCACACAGCAAAGCAGTCATGGCCTGAACTTGTGACCCTTATTCTGCAAGTAATCCTAATTGACCTCAATGGGACTATGCATGGGAGTCAGTATTACTAAAGTGAGTAAACATGGAAAGACTAGGCCCTTATCACTCCAGGACCATACCTATGATCATATTATCAGTTTCTTTTTAAAAATTGCATTAATGAAAACATAATAAAAGCATCAAAAACACTTTAATAGGACTTGACATCGATTTCTTTTAAAAGGATGTTCTTAGACCAGGTAACATAGTCTAAAGGAAAATTTAACATTACTCTTTTTAATTACTTTAAGGGCCCACTAATTTTACTAATGTTCCTCCTAGTAGATGATAGTGCCTTTCAACTTCCCACCCTCTTCCCTTTTCTCAGTGTTTAAGCCTCTTTCTTTGCCTATCACATGGATGAAAGGTCCTGTCTGCAACATTGCTCCTGCCCTTCTCTGACAGTATTATAAGGAAACAACACTGGAAGCATTAAGTATCTCCCAGTTGTGTTTTCCAGTAGAAAATTAAAGAAATGCAAAAAGATTACTGGGACGCAGGGGTTGCATTGTGGGATACAGGGTGACAGCTATGCTTTGATAGTCAAATATGGCTGGTTTTCTTTGAAATGATGCTGTGGGTTTAACTTACCCAGCACTGCCCTGCAGCCCAGCCAGCTGCTTCAGTTTTATTTTACAATTATATCATTAAAAATTCAGCTGGAAACAGGCAGAGCCCAGCTGAATAATTTCAATACTAACTGAACACGAGGGCATGTTGCACTTGTGAAACTCACAGAAGAGCTTCTGGTATTCCAAGAGAACGTGAAGATGGAATGTGAAGAAACCTCAGGATTCACAGCACATTCTATCATTCCCCTCCCTCCATCTTGCTTTCACTCAGATGCCATGGCATTTGCCTTTGCTTTGTGCCTAAGCAATCCAGTTAAACAACTATAGCTGCTAATGTGGATGCAGTCACAGAAACCTACTTATCTCACTTCTAAGGTTCTTTGGGTAAATCCGAATCTTTTATTAGACCAACTAAAATCGCTGGAAAAAATCTTCTTTGCAAACTTTCAGGTACAAACACCCTTCATCAGGCTGAGATCTGAAGATTTGATTCTGATTCAGAGAATCAGCAATGTGGCCATAGACACAGCTTTATATGTTTTTTCTACATACCTCAAGGTACCAGGCACAGCTTGTGAAAGCTGAGATGGTGGGGCGGATGGAGCATCCCATGGGAGGTGGCGGGGTCCGATCCATTGGGGTCTGCCATGGAGTATGCAAGGGACCCCCCTGCCTGGCAACTGGTGCCTCTTGGGGCACCCGGGGTCATTCACCAAGCTGGGAGGGCACGGGGGAGTCCCCCTCTGCGCGCTTCGGCAGCTGACCCAGAAGTGGACTGAAAGTACTTCTGGTTCACGTCTGGGTCTACAACTCAGTGCACGGGGGACCCGCGGGATGCTCCATCCACCCCACCATCTCAGCGTTCACGAGTCGCACCTGATACCTCAAGGTATGTAGAAAAAACATATAAAGCTGTGTCTATGCCCAAATTGTCAAATCTCTCCGATTCAATTTGGAGAGATTAACAGGTCTCCCGCTTCGATCTGGATTCAGAGATTCAGCCGTTGAATCAGGTTGAATCTCCTTTGAATTGAATCAGCAACTGAGACTTTGCACGGCCCTACTCCCCAGCCCTGCCACACTGAGAGCCATTCTCAGTGCCATATCTGCACCCCCATATCACACAGGGTACCCCTGAGCCCTCAGCCCTGCCCCCAAGTGTGGAGGCAGAAAGCACAAGCCAGAGGAAGAGAAGTCAGACACTCCAGCAGCAGCAGCACGAGAGCAATGAAAGAAGTGGTGACTGGACCTGGAGCCTTGGGGTCCCAGGCCATTAGCAGGACAGCCCCGATCTGGCTGCTTTGGATTAATATAAAAATAATTGGCAGCACAGTGCAGGCTGTGTTATTCAATTGATTTCTTTTCAAGTAAGGATGAGCTATACATAGAAATTATTTTGTGTCTGTCATATGGTGCTGCGAGTCGAAAGACCATAACAAAAAAAGGTCTGGCACATCAATTCATAGCTGTTTTACTAGCTCACAGACACAGAATCAGTTGTTCCATTGCTTAAGGGGTTCCTTTCCTCTGACACCTGCTTGGCATGGGCTGTTTTCCAGACAGTTGCTGACTCATACAGACAGAACTGCTACAGCATGTGAATTTTGCGGCTTGGAATATGAACTTATTGCAAATTCCTAACCCCTGAAGTGGTGTTTAGTCAAACTATAGAAGTATATAGTTAATCAATGGGATTGCAACTGAGCGGTCCTAGCAAAAAGCATTGCAGTGGCAATATAATGATCAGCAACTCTATCTCTGATACCACCCCTCTGAAAGTGGCACAGACTTATTGCTCTGACGCCACCTCCACAATGTAACACTAACAGGCAATAGAACAGGACATGCAGCTGCACATTAAAAAGCTTTGTCACCAAGGGGTTATACTTGAGGTTTTGTTGGGTTTTTTTAAATTGCTGCTTTTTCATGCACAAGCCCGCATTTATTTCATTTTCTGAGGGGTTTTTCCTCAATGATAGGCAAAACATCCTTAAATAGGCAGTAATTATTTATACATATTTCATATCCCCTATGGGTCCATATCCTTTATCTCCTCTTATTCATTTTCCCATAAGATGATTAAGAATCTTACTTGCTATGGTAACACCATTGGCTAGCCAGTTAATATTAGGTTTTGGGTTGCCATTAGCTCTGCAGATCAGGGTTCCATCCTCTCCAGGAGACAATACAAGGTTTCTAGGTGCTGTTATCCAGTATGGAGCAGCTGTGATTAGAAAAAAACACATTAATGGTCAATGTTACAAGAGTCTATTAAAAAAATCAAAATCATACAGCACAACAGATTTAACTGCCAAATAAATCAATGATGCGAATATATTTGCTGATTTTTATGTTTGCAAACATGTATAATATACTGGTAAAATTATGTTTTGATTACACAAGCCATAGGCAATAAATTATTAGGTTTTTAGACAGACAACACATCATGCACCTTGTAGCTGTTTGCTTCAAATTTTTTTAATAAATAAGATAATTTTTTTACTCAATTTAAGGAAGATCAATAACATATATATTGGCTGCTTTGACTCTCATAGGTTCTTTCTTTTTCAAGACAGCAACATTCATTAAATTTATCTGTAAAAATGCTGGAACAGTAGTCTTTCTAATAAATATTCAGGGGGCCCCCTCTCTTCAAACATTTGAGGAATGGCAAAGGAGACAGTGCTTACAGGTGAGACAAAAGAGCTAGCACTTAAGAGGGGAAGAAGAATAAACAGAAGCTGTGTGAAGTCCTTGACTTGCTGAAGTCAGTGGAAAGGCTTCCAGTGACTTTGGAGGCATGGAGATTTTATTTTTGGTGACAGATGCAGACAAAGCAAAAATGGAGATTTTTTAAAATGAAGTTTATATAGAAACTCACAGGCACTTTTGAAATATCAACCTGTTTTAAATGTCTTTATAACTAGTACTATATTTATGTGAATTCAAGATGAGATTTCCCATCCCCCCAGTCAACATGAGGAAAAGAGCCCCTCGTCTTACAAGGTACTGGGAGGGGCATAGAGAACAGCTGTTGCAGCTCTGACTCTGGCCCTAAGCCCAGGTCAGGGCTGGAGCTGAAGCTGCAGCAGCTTCCTCCCTCCCCATTTTTCTGCCCCCTGCCACTTCTGCCCCCCCCCAGTCCCCGCACCTGCCTCCCTCATCCTCTGTCCCCTGGTGCCTGCCCCTGCCCCCCTGAGCCTCATCTACTCCTTTCCCTGTCTCTTATCCCCACCCTACCATCTACCCCCTTGCCACTGCTTTTCTTCTGTATCAGTGGGGGGATGAATTTAAAGGCAACCCTTCAATAATTGGATTCTACACATGGAAAATTTTAACAAATTGATACATTTGCCATGTCTAGAATCCAATTACTGGGGGGTTGTCTTAAATTCAATGTTGTTTTGGATTCAGGTAAATACCATAGCATAGTGTCTGTGAACTGAGAACTAGTACAATGAACAAGGTAGAACCAAAAGCAGAGGAAGTGAAGAAAGAGAAAAAGAATAGATACAAAGAGTAGAAAAATGGGAAAGTAAAGGCATAAGGGGAATGTTATGAGAGGATGAAGAGAGACAGAGGGAAAGAAGATACAAAGAAAAAGGAAAAGGAATCTAGCCTAACTATATTTAGTTGAGGTTATTAATGGATTTTTGTCTCTTTAGTATCATCTCAGTATACCACCTTGCTTGGCAAATGTAGAGGTAAATAAATAAAAACATGTGCTAAAATGAGATTATCACAGCAAGCAGAGATACAATATCTAGTAGCAAACCTCAGATGATTCAATGATCATTTTGCTCAATTATAGTTACTGCTCTCACTCATCCTTTTAGATATGATTTGCTCTAACATGTTCCCCATATAAAATAAATTACCGTATAAACTTGAATTTGGATGCTGACATTATTTTAATATTACCTTTGACAGTTACTGTAATGGTATGGTGAACAGATCCTAACACATTTCTTGCTACACATTTATAGTTCCCAGCATCAGCTTCAGAAACATCTATGATTTTAAGAGTTTTCTTAAAATTTTCAAAAAATGTCCTATTGGCAGGCAATTCACCACCTTCTTTAATCCAGCGAATAACTGGTGTGGGTCTGGAGAAACAAAAACACAGATGAGATCAAATGGCTGGGAATAGAGAGATGCCAAGAGTTCAGCCCACTGGTTTCTCATGTATAAAATTTAAAAATAATTATTTAAAGATAATTATTTGGCCTGGACTTGTAGGCATGACCAGGAAAGCGGGTCCATAATACAACCAACCCCTGTCCCTTGAAAGGTGCATGGTGCAGGCCATGCACATGCAAGCTACATACTGGGCATCTTGCAAAGGACAGAGGACAGCCCAGTCCTGACTCAGGGGTTGCCCCCAGGTTCAGCACAGGGCTGACTGGGCAGAGGGAATCCTTCCAGCATGGGAAACATCCAACCCTTCCCCCAGTGAAGACATGCTGTACAACCCAGCTGTATTCATGCACTTTGAATATGCTGGGGTAGGGAGAGCAAAATGTGGAAGCAGCTCCCCATCTCAGGCTCCCCAGCCTGTTCAAAGTGCACAGGGAGTCCTAGCTTGGGCGTCCACCCCAGCAAGTTCATCATACACATTCAAATTAAAGCATGATGCAACCCAACCACAAAGATGTCCCACATTAAATATCTGCATATCTGGTTTGCCAGTTTATTGCACCATAATTGTTTTGTACTTATGACATGTTGCAGTTTATGGCACAGTGTATTTACTGTGCCATAAATTTAACATCTGTCAGGGACCTGAGGGTTTAGGGATCATAGATGTGAGGGAACAAGAACACTGTCTTGAATCAGGCATGCTGTTGAAAACAAATTCTCCCATATATCTCTGCAGACCATTTCAAAATGCAGCATTGGTGGTATTCCACTCTAAGGCCACACTTGTTCAGAAACCAAATTGATTAAATTTGGACTGTATTAAGTGCACAGAGTGAAGGTCAGCGTAATATGAGCTGTTCCATTTATGTTTTTAAGTCTCAGGTAGTCTAAATGTGTGAAGTGTTGTAAACAAACCTCCTGCTTTTAATTTTTTCATCTGTTTCTGCAAACATAACTCATCCAGCACTATAACATCTAGGATTATGCTACCTTCTGGGCACTGACATTCTCTCTGAAATGTTTATTTCTCTTTGTATTTAGAAGAAAACTTTGGGGGTGGAAAAACGACTCACACTCCTCCGGCAATGCACTCCAGCAGAAGTGTGTTTCCTCTCAGTTCCACTTTGGTACTTGTGCTACCTACTGGCATCAAAAGATTTGGCCGTCTCTCTGTAACTGACCTTGCTGAAATTAAAAAATTGAAATTAAAATAATGAGAACAAATAAGAAAAAAATAATGTGAAACGTTTTGTGATAAAATCTAATATATTCTAAAGTATCAGAATGCTGACAGTAAATAAATCTGTAGTTGGGCATGAAGACTATTAGTAATATGTACACTAAGTGGACATGATTTCACACATATGGACATTATAGAATTTAGCCTAAGCGTTTTGCTGTGCATGTTAATTTGCTTTAAAATATTTGCATTTAAGAATCTGCACAGCTTCCACCAGTTAGGATAAGCATACTAGAATCCTACCTGGATATGGGAAATGCTGTCTTTTTCTATGCATGAACACAGCAGCATTATTGCGACCAAACTGTTTTATCTAGTACTAACAAAGGGCTTGAATTGCCATTCTGAAGGTTACACACCTACTCTCTAACCCTGCATAAACCCCCGCTCATTTCAAAGGGATTTCTCATAGGTGCCAGGTCCACCTATGTGGATCATATTGCAAGAATTGGGCTAGGGCTTAACATCTCAACATCAGACATTCTTTACTTCCAGCAAAACTATGCTAAAACCCTCAAAAGAAAACTGGTCCAATGTAAACCGGTTCTATTCAAGAACATAGGAACAATAAAACACATTAATGTGCAATATATTTCAGTCAATATTTTCTAGGCCATCCTAGGGGGGGAGGACTTCTTATGAAACTTATCCATGTCTTGTCCCCTTAAAACATATTTTAATTTTAATTTGAGTTTTTCCAAAAAGTGGATCTTTATTGTTTTCTTAACAATAAAAATAATTAAACAGGAAGGGCAACACCTAAGCACAAATCCAAGCCCAGTATTTTACACTGGTCATTATATTTAATTTTTTTTTTAATCTTTGGATTTGCTTGATTTAATTCTAAGTGTATTACAGTACTTCATATCTTCTTTTTTAAAGGTTCATATTACAGAAATCAGACCTTTCTAGAAATAAAAGTTATAAAACTATCCGAGCACTCTTAATCACAGGAGTGATTACTACAAGATGCAATGTTTTGAATCTTTCCATCTGAAGTTTTGGGGGGTTTTTTTAATATGGGTAGGAACATAAGGATGCTCATCCATTGTGTCCTAGGGCACAGGATTTAATGCTAGATTAAGGATGAAGAATATGTTCCTAAAGTATCTCAAATGCTCATATACAAAAGCTTTTCTTTAAATGGAATGGAAAAGGGACAAAGAGGAACAGGGTCAATGGCTACAGGGCAATGAACAATTTGCTCAGTTCATGCACTTAAAAAAAAACATGTATTCATAACTCAAAACTATGAGAATCCTGAAAAACTGACTTCTTGAGTCATGCACCAAATGAATTGACTTTTTCCTCACTCCACTCAATGTGTCATTCGGTTTGCAGATATTTATTCCACCAGCATGGAAATTTCATGTTGTTTGTTCTCTAACTAATTTTAATTCTATATAGAGAATTAAGAAGTTGCCACACCTGTTACATTCTGAGTTTCAATAATTGAGATCAAATGTCTACAGAATCTCAGTTATGAAAAATGTCTTAAGGAAAAAAGAATGACCTATTTCCTCACCATCATATAGGATGTAAAATTATTTTGTTAGATCCTCAGCTGATGTAAAATCAGTACTGATCTGAATTTACCTGAGCTTAGCAGATTTCTACCAGCTGAGGACCTAGCCCACAATGCAGAAAAGCAGACTGGGTTAAAATTAAATCAAACAAACATATGAGCAAAAAAATATATATTTTTCATGTGAAGTTAATTTTACACCTGGTATAAAAAGCTCGTATTTTAAATTGTTCTAGTTTTACATTTATGAAAAAGATTAAAAATGAATGGAATTTCAAGAAGTTATGAAATATTAAGTGAATCTGTTAAATGTTTAAAACTACCATCGTTACTTATGACACAGCCTGTGATATTGCCTAATCCCAGCGATATTGTACATTTCTATGCATCAGTTAAATAGGAGGAGAAAGATTTTAAAAGCATAATACAGAAAGTATTAGGAAAACAACATGCAAAATCTGCTCCAGTGTGAAAAGCTTCATTTGCTGTAAAATTGATATTTTGGTAAGCATACTATATTGACAGTACATCAAAATTAATTTGACATATTTTGAAGACTCACACTGTGCAGACTCTTTATAAAGTATATATTATCACTGGTACTATTAGATGCCCATATTAGAAATTGGAAAGGGGAAGTAAAAGGTTAAATAATCATGGAGGTGAAGTTAGTTAACTAAATTCTACTATGAAAGGAGGAGTATCAGTGGGGATCACTTGTAACTCACCACCATAAAAATCACTGTCACTCAAATTAGCAGCTATAGTTTCATTCATTGAATCCACTGAAATAAACAGAATATCGTGAAGGATGCACATAAGTGGGGTAAACCAGGGTACTGGGCATCAAAGGAGAATCTATATGGTCAAAGTCATTTAATACCACTAACAGAGGGCAATATATTATTGCAAAGATCTGTTGATTGATTCATCTGGATTGTCACAACTATTATAACCCGGAGTATCTACAGAGGAATGTCAATCAGAATTATTTATTACATTAGATTTTTAAATAAGTAAAATGTTATAAAATAGATATATTTTTGAAAAAAAGATATTTTATCAAATATATATATAAATGGAAGATTAATAACCTTAGAGACTTAATTTCTTACTCATTGTAGTTGAGATACAAAAGTCTCTCATATAAAGCTTTTTAACTGTAAGCCAGCAAGCAATCCCCCCACAGATGATTGTACATTTACATTAAAATTAAAAAATGAAATACCTACTTGAAAAAACCTTCACAGAAATGGGTTGCTTCTGCTGTATGGTCTGAGTATGATTAAATCTTGCATAGCAAATATAGTCCTCACGGGTGTCTTCTGGTCGTACATTAGAAAAATAAAGGTCCCCATTTAGACCTTGGGAAACTCTTTCACTTTGAGGCAACCTTTGGAATGCTAAATAAAACAAAATGCACACATTTTTTTCATTATAACGTGTGCACACACAAAAAATACCAACATAATGTCTGCAGGCTCCACACTCAACTGCCTTTGTGCCTTTTGGGCTAGATACAGAAGTTAAACATAAACTGGTGTAAGTAAACAAAAACTGATATAAACCTGTAACAGAACATAAGTTCAGTGCACATAAACCAGTTTCAAAATGGCTGAAACTGGTTTACGATAAACCTGGTTGAATGTGGTATCAGGCTTAACTGATATGGGTCAAATGCTAGGGTTACCATAATTCCGGTTCCAAAAAAGAGGACACCTGCCGTGCGGGAGGAGAGGGGATATATAACTGGGGGGGGAGGGGCGCAGGGGACTGCCCTTGCCCCTGCCCCCACCGAAAAACCCCCAGCCCCCCCCAGCCCTGCTGATGCCCCTCACTCCCGACCCCCAGCCCTCTACTCCCCCCAGCCCTACCCCTGTGAGCACAGGCACCAGCCCCAGTGCCGCTGGGGCAGCCACGCAGCTCCCTTCCTCCTCTCCCTTCCCCCACTGGAAGGGCACGCATCCAGGGCATGCATCTCCCCCAACCTGCTGCAAACCCAAACCCATGCCCCCCCCACACTACACACACACACACACACACACACACACACACACACACACACACACACACCCCTCGCCTCCCACTGACTTACCTGCATCCAGTTGCTGGGCTGCTCCCACCCCCTGCCTGGCTACATGCTGGCCACATGTATGTATGCCCTGCCTCCAGTCACTCTGCCCCCAGCCCCAAGCAGCATCTTGCTGGGGAAGCTGAGAGCAGAGTAAAATCCTGGACATTTGATTGCATTTTAGAAAAACACCCAGACTGAGACTGGGGGATCTGAAAAGAGGATATGTCCAGGAAAACCCAGATGCATGGTAACCCTAGTCAAACCGGTTTATGAAACTTCTGTCCCAGACCTCTTCCTGATTCATGTTAAATCATGGTCCCACAGCATCCCAGCATGTTTCCAACCCTGGGCTGGGCTGTGCCCTCTGCTCCAGCAGAGGAGGTTTGGGGTAAGGGAGAGGGAGGCAGGGACTGCCTCTCCAAGACAAACCCTGGCTGGGTCTAGGGCCAGGAAGGAGGGTTAAATACCCTTTCCCATGCTCAAACTCAGTGCTGACTATGACTGTGAACTAGAAATCCCAGAGGAACCTGGAAGCAGGAAGAAGAAGTGATGAGCAACCCTGCAGAGTCCTGCTACTGTGATTCTGTGATACTGAAGATTCCAGAGACGTTGCAGGCAGCAAGAAGAGGAAGTGAACACACAGTCCATGCTGGATATGTGCCAGAAAGCCATGTTCTAATGCTCCCCGGCTTCTGGCCTGAGCGGGCACATGGCTGCATTTCCTGAATCAAAAATAAATATCTGTCCATTTTTTTCTCAGTTTAATCTCTGCAGTTTAGACTAACCTGCAAAGACTGAATTGATTCAGCCTTGGGATTTCTGACCGTCTGTACTTGGCCCTGTAGTGGTTCATCACTTAATAAATTCTACATAAATCTTTTAAAGTATTTTCTGTAACTTCCTCACCTCTTCCTGAATAACATCTTAGAAAATATAAATCCATACGGCATTCGTTGATATTCCCAATGTACCTTGCCTGCACTGCTCTTGAGTAGCTTTTCTGCTAGCCTAGTCTTTTCAGCTCTGTGGAATCAAGGAAGCCTTGCTCAAGAAAAGTTTGGATTTTTACTTCGATAAGAAAACATACAAGCTGCTGTTAACTCTTGATAAGTAATTATAATGTATCTAGAACATTAATAAAACATTAAGAAAATTCTTCTCGATATCAGGTTGTTATAAACTTACAATTATCCATCCAAAATATTATAGGGGGTGGTAATCCAATTGGAGGTCTGCAGTGAAGTACTAAAGAATCACCTTCTTGAACTTGTTTTGGTTCTGGTTTTTCTTTAGTCCACAATGGGGATCCTGTAGAAAATAATTGTAATACTTATATAAATCATGGATTGAGAAAAAATTCCAGAAGATAAGGCAGAGCTATGTGCAAGACACATTAAAAGGAAAAGTCTTAGGAAATGTACACAGATTTTAATTTCCACTTTGGAGCAGTTGTGTTCTCTTTGGAAAAAAGAAAAGTTTAATTATATTTGCATTGATAGTTTTGGAGAATTATTGCTTTAATCAACTTAATCAACAAAAAAAGAATGACTTTGGATAATCACTAAAATTTCTATCTAAGTATCTTAGAAGTTTGATTCTGAGTAATGTGAAAAGTAATACATACAATTAGAAAAAATGAAGTAAAAAAACCCAAAGTTAGAGATTACTGAAAAGTTACTACATGGGAGAAATCAGTGCAAATTTAAGAAATATATTTGGTCTCAAGAGCTGAGAGGGTTAAACTTGATACTATAAAATATTTTAGAAATATTTGCTCGTGGTTGTTGCAGCTGAATGGATAAAGCAATCAACCAAAAATACATTGGTATGGTATGTCATATGATAGATGATACAACGTGACCTTACAGTATAAAGGTATATCATATCACAAAAAAATTGCCTCAGTTTACTCCATGTTAGGGCTATTTTAAAAAAAGAGTATGGTATATTTGTTTCACAAAAAAAGATCTAATACAAAGTTCATACCATGGCAATTTAGGATCGAAAATATATTTTTCTAATTTCGGTGTTTTGTACATTACACAACTTTAAACATGATGTGTTAACCAAGCATACTGAACACCAGGAAAATAGTTTGGCTAAGTATTTACTAGGGAATTTTGGAGAATATTGATAATTTTTCATGTACTACAATACGAACATCAGGAACATCAGGAAAAATGCAATACCTTCTAACAAGAGTGTTTTGATGATTAAAAAGATATCATTTTGTTTTTTGTAACCAAAATGTTTGGTTAAAAATGAAAAAAGAAAATGATTCAAGTGAGGAACTTACAGCAAAGCAAATAAGTATAAATGCTTCATGATTAACCACAGAGTTCCACTTACTGGATGGTCGTATAACAATATTATTTGAAATTGCTGCTCCATGTTCATTCCTTGCTGTACATTGATACACGCCTTCATATGCTTCTGCCTTTCCACCATTCATTATGTTTATTACAAGGGTTCCTGAGTTTGGTTTCATTGTTACCCGTGCATCTTTATCTATATCAAAATGAGTTCCATTACGTGTCCATGAGAAGCTACAGTCATAACAAGAAGAAAATGCTTATTAAAAATCTGGGAAAAAGAAGAAAAATCATTTTAGAAAATTCTTCTCGAGTAAAATGTAGAATTTGTCCATAGCATAAAATATAGTTTAAGAAAAATACCACTGGATTATTCAAGTATCAAGTGAAATGCTCTCTACAACACCATTAAAATACAGTATCTATCACACATTCTGACCATGCTTTAAGATAAAAGTGTTGGCTAAACTTGCTAATAGGTGTTATTTTTAAGGTCTGTATTTGTACTATAAAATTACATTTAGAGATTTATAAGCTATCCACATAGGAAAAAACTGCTCTAATTTTCCACTAAAGATGATACAGTGAGGTCTGCTGGAACTGATACTGTTAAAGCTGCATTAGCATTTCCATTATAACTCCATCAATGAAAGGGTTTATAAGATGACTGTAAAATTTGCTTTGGGCTGAAAACTGTCATATAAGGTCTCAGCAGGAGACTCTGTCTTTAATTGGCCTGTGCCTTTTTTAAGTTACTGAAGTTAATAAAAAGGCCATGTTGTAGGTCTGATTGCTTTTTACTACTTCAATGCAAATAATTGTGATTCTTTAAATGAAATTTTGCACTCTGCTAGTCCATAACTAATCTACTAGGCTTATTTTGGTATTACACAAAGCAGTGGCTGTTTTAGAAAGTGGCTTCTGAAAAATTAGGATTCATGAAGACATCTTAAAAAAAACAGAAATAAAAAACAAACCAGAAAAACCCAGAGCTGGTTCATAGTATGCAAACCTTACTGCTGCAAACATACATTCTAAAGTGTAGTTTGTGAATTGCTAAAATACATTAATGCAATGATCAGGTTGTGATTATGAACCCTCTGTCAGACAAATATAATAGTGTAAGGAACTTTATTCCCCATGACAAAAATTGTGCATTCTGCCATTGTTTTGTATTGCCAGACATGCATGGCAGGATGCATGATTTTGGGGGAATGAGGCATGAAATTTTTCAGATCCCACACGTGCAACTGCTGGGGCCAAACCATCTGAACTAGGACCAAGAGATCAGGCAGGGGCAGTCATGTCCTGGACCCCGGTGCTGCCCCAGGTCTCAGGTTGAGACTAAGGTCTGCTCCCAGCCCAGTCCTGGCAACTGGACAAAGAGCAGCTGTATCCCATACTGGGGCTGCCCCAGCCTCAGTTCTGATAATCAGCTGATTGCCCAGATCTGGCAGAGCCAGCCCTAGTGCTGGGACACCTGCCATTCAATTTAAGGAGCATTACAAACCAGTGACCTTCCTAGTTTAACTTAAAACAGAGTCCCCTAGCATCCCAGATGCTTTGAAGCCCTGGGCGGTGTTCTCTGCTCCAGAAAGCTGAGCTGGCCCCTCCCCTCTGTTCAGTATCTGCCTGACTTCCCCTGCCCCAGTGCCCCACCACTACCTGCTCAATCAGGGATTCCCCTCTCCCTTCTCCCAAAGCACAGACAGTAGCCAGCATGTGGTATGCTAGCTAATGCTAAGAGGTCTCTGTGTAAGGCAGATGGAACAGCGTCTACTTAGGGCTTTTTGGAGCTAAGTAACACGTCAGCTGGTCCCTCTGTTCCTTCCTGGGACAAAGTTGTTTAAGAAAAGCTTGAACTAATGAGAGGCTTTTGTTTTCTGGATGGGGTGCTAAATACTGTTATCAACTCCCTGCTGGACTGGTCAGAAGCAGCAAGGGGGAGGGAGGGACATGTCTCCTTAATCAAAGCGTCCTGCTGGGGCCTGACCACACCCCCCCCCCCCTCTGCTCAGCACTATCAAAGGGAAGGGAGGGCTGCTCTAGCACTCCCCAGCTTCTAGCCTGAGCCACTGCAGGCATCTGCCTGTATTTCTTCAGTCCAAAGAGGATGTCTGTGCAGTTACAAACCAGTTCAACCTAGCCAGATTAGACTAACCTGCAAAGATTGAATCAATTCAGGCTCAGGCTTTTTGAACATCTGTTCCTAGTCAGGTTTGTCATTTTGAGCCATTAATTGGCTAAACATGTGGCATGCTGTGACTTATCACACTTAAATGCAACAGCCTCGAGATGCTGAGCACTCACATCTCCTGATGCTGATTTTCAATGTTTCTCAGGCTCAGATCCTTAAACCTAGCGTTCAAATATCTTTTTTGGTACTATTAGATGACTATATAGAAATCTAAATATACACATTACAGATGAACTTTACAGCACTTAATTTCAAATCTTTATGTGCTTCTGCAGAGATTAGACTCAGGACTACCAGATTTAAATGAGTGCACCTCTTGTTCACTTAATGGATCTATCAAGCATTTTGGTGATGAAGTATCTTTGGAAATAAGTTCAGATTGTGTTTATTTTTAGAAAATGCACTAGAAAAGTTACAGGTGTGTAGGTTGTAGCTGTATTGGTCTAAGGACATAGGCAGACGAGGGTCTTTGGGTGAATCTTATATCTTTTATTAGACCAACTTAAATAGTTGGAAAACAATTATTAAGCAAGCTTTCGGGTTCAGAAACCCCTCGTCAGGCTAAGGAAGTTTCAGCAGATGGTGTGTGCTCTTCTTGGATGGAATGAAAAGTGAAGAAGCCAAAGGCTGGTCTGGTATGCATACAAGACAGGTAGTCAGTGAAAATGTAGATTGAGGAGTCAATGGGTGAGAGACAGGCTGGGGGGCGGGGAGGGGTGGAAGAGAGAGAAGGGGGATGAATAGTGGAGAGATACCTGGGGAATCAGATGTCAGGCAGGTTGAGGGTGTTTGCTGGTTCTGTGCAGATATGCATGTTGGTCTGTGGGTTTCTTGTATAACGTGGTCTGTATTTTATCATTCTGGATACTGATCATCATGTCTAAAAAGGAGATGTTGGTGCTGGAGTATTCTAGAGAAAGTTGGATGGAGGGATGGTGACTGTTGAATTTCTGATGGAAGTCAATCAGAGATTGTAGGTTTTCAGTCCAAATGATGAAGATGTCAGCGATATATCTTAAGTATAACAAGGGTTTGATGGCGCAGTTCTTGAGGAAGTCTTCTTCCAGGTGGCTCATAAAAAGGTTGGCATACTGTGGGGCCATTTTGGTGCCCACAGCTGTTCCCATCATCTGGAGGAAGTGTTGATTATTAAAAGTGAAATTGTTGTGTGTGAGGATGAAGTGTATAA